CAGGGCAGAGCCCTCTGTGCCCAAGCAAGCGGGGGGCTGGCAGCCTGCTCTGCACCCTGGCAGCATTTCACCCAGATCCCAGAAAACACAGGCTGAGCCTTCGTACCAGGCTGAGTACTGTGGATGGATTTTAGGGCTGATGCAGAGTCACTAGAGCATGGGAAAGCGAGTGTGTTGCTGTAAGTCAGCTGGCAGGGCAGAGCTGCTGCCCCGGACCCGTGCCCTGACCGGCTGGGGTTGCAATGCTGGGAATCAGCTGCTGGCAGACAGGTCCAGGCAGTGCTGAAAATCACAAATTGCAGCTCCAGAGATGAGGTGGGAGCTCAGGGATTTGGCATGGGCATTTCCAGAGGCAGCAGGAACTGCAGGGGGGGTTTGGAGCTGTGCAAGAGCTGGATTTTTTTCTTGGCTCTGCTTCAGAGCGGGCTGTGAGCAGGGCTTCTGCGGTCGTGGACACTGTGTTTGCAGTGGTGACGTTGCCTGTTGCCAGCCAAAGGTGTGTTTAGGATGCTCCTTCTTCCCTTCTTTCTTTAGAAATAACCCCCCCGTCTTCTTGCCCTTCTGCAGAGGGGTTTCTGGATTCGGAATCCTGCCTGAGCACCCATGGCCTTTGTCCTTGGGTTTCAGCTGCCTCTGTCCCGGGTGCACAAGCCCACGAGCGCAGAGGTTGGATCTGCCTGCACAGTGCACACTGAGAGCAATCACCCAGGAGGATGCTTGGGCTGAGATGAGTTACCCTGCTCTGCTCCCCTTGCAAACCTGGTCTGACCCTTCCTGGCTCCATCCCTCCCTCCTCCTCTGCTCAGTCCTCCCTTCCTCTCTCCCCTTCAGCAGCTTCAAAGGCAAAAACACAAACACAGATGGGGGTATAGCTCAGTGGTAGAGCATTTGACTGCAGATCAAGAGGTCCCCAGTTCAAATCTGGGTGCCCCCTTGTTTTCTTCTCCTTTTAACCTTCCTTTTAGAGGGTTTGGTGGTGTTGGGTTGACGGTTGGACTTGATGATCTTTGAGGTCCTTTGATTCTTAATGATTCTTTATTGATTCTTGATTGAATCCTTTCAATCCGATTGAAACCTTAATGATTCTGTGGAATATTGCCTGCTGGGCTGCTGTCCTGTACAGACGGGCTCTGCGGCACCGTGCGGGACCGCTGAGCCCCACGGTGAGCTCCTGCTGCTGTGCTGAGCCCATCCACGGGGGAGCAGCCCCCTCCCTAAGGGCTGTGGAGGGGGTCCTGGGTCCTCCTTTAACAAGTCAGGTCTGTCTCTTGCTCCAAGGAAGATCCTGTCGTTCGCTCCAGGCACCAGATCTTGGCACTTTGAGCTCTCTTTCTCTTCTGTGTTATTCTCTGCCCTGTTGAGGGGCAGAAGTAGATGCCCCTGTGCTCTTATTCAGATCATAGAATCCCAGACTGGTTTGGGTGGGAACGGACCTTAGAGACCATGCAGTG